CTTAGGGTAAAACAGTCTTGCTTTTAAGTTAACTGACTAGTTCAGATTTTATAACATCATGAACATTAAGCATTCCAGATTCCATGTCTTCATATTTGACCAAGTTTACAATAGCAAATGAAAAGACTGAAAACAAATACATATAGGACAGAACAAAGCTAGTAAAAAAAATCCTGACTACCCGGTAGAAAAAATGTTTCTTTGCTCAATATGTTTTCAAGATATCAATAAAATGCTTCGCTGGGGCGCAGCTTGATACGACCGCAGAGGTCGAACCCTGAACAGTTGGGGCAAGTATGGACACAACATTCAAGCTTGATACAGCTCTGAACTTGGATTGTTATTAAATATTTGACACAGCATAGGTTTCTGACACAGAAAGAATGTGGTCTAAGAACTTGAATTTTTTTATTTACCTATTATGGTCCAATGTCCAAAATCAAAATACATGGTTAGATTCAGCATATCAAAGAACCCCATATATTCAATTTTTGTTAAAATCAAACAAAGTTTAATTTTGGACCCCAACTTGGACAAACTTGAAAACTGGGCCCATAATCAAAAATCTAAACACATGTTTAGATTCAGCATATCAAAGAACCCCAAGAATTCAATTTTTGCTAAAATCAAACTAAGTTTAATTTTGGACCCTTTGGACCTTAATGTAGACCAATTTAAAAAACGGGACTTAAAATTAAAAATCTAAATACACGGTTAGATTTGGAATATCAAAGAACCCCAATAATTCAATTTTTGATGAAATCAAACAAAGTTTAATTTTGGACCCTTTTGACCTCAATATGAACCAATTTGATAGCGGGGCCCACAAATAAAAAATCTAAATTCATGGTGAGATTCAGCATATCAAAGAACCCCATATATTCAATTTTTGTTGAAATCAAACAAAGTTAAATACTGGACCCTATCTTGGACCAACTTGAAAACTGGGCCCATAATCAAAAATCTAAACACATGTTTAGATTCAGCATATCAAAGAACCCCAAGAATTCAATTTTTGTTAAAATCAAACTAGTTTAATTTTGGACCCTTTGGACCTTAATGAGACCAATTTAAAAAACAGGACCCAAAATTAAAAATCTAAATACACGGTTAGATTTGGAATATCAAAGAACCCCAATAATTCAATTTTAGATGAAATCAAACAAAGTTTAATTTTGGACCCTTTTGACCTCAATATGAACCAATTTGATAACGGGGTCCACAAATAAAAAATCTAAATAGATGGTTAGATTCAGCATATCAAAGAACCCCATATATTCAATTTTTGTTGAAATCAAACAAAGTTTAATTTTGGACCCCAATTTGGACCAACTTGAAAACTGGGCCAAAAATCAAAAATCTAAATACATGTTTAGATTCAGGATATGAAAGAACCTCATATATTCAATTTTTGCTAAAATCAAACAAAGTTTAATTTTGGACCCTTTGGACCTTAATGTAGACCAATTTGAAAACTGGACCCAAAATGAAAAATCTAAATACACTGTTAGATTCGGCATAACAAATAAATAAATGTGATCAAAGATTTTACAAATCTAATGCGCCATACTGTGCAATTAAAGATTACTTCTTGAAATTTTTCAATATTTGAAATTTGAAAAAAAAATAATATTTGAAGAATAATTCTTTTTAATTTCTGAAATGTGAAATGAGAAAAAATTGACCCCCCACAATTTCTTTTTATCCCCCCCCCCCTTTTTCCCCAAAAAATTCTTTCCCTCAAGATATGGTCAAAATCTCAATTCAAATTTCCAATGGAGTTGGCAACCATAATTACCCATTTAAATTTACCATAGTGCTAACTTAATCTATTTTATAATAGAATTTAAAATATAGTGTCAAATCTTTCATATGGATTTTTTGTAAAAAAAAAAGATGCAACATTTGCAGATATTTTTACTGGTCTTCCTTTATAAATATGCATTTCTTTAAACATAATTTAAAAGCAGTGTAAGGGAAGTAACCAAAACGTTGTATTTGGATTACCTCCCTTACACTGTTTTAAATTATCTTTATTGTTCATTAACCATTACTTTATTCATAATTTAAAAGCAGTGTAAGGGAGATAATTTCAATGATGTATTTGATTTATCTCCCTTACACTGCTTTAAATTATGTTTTGTACTAAAGTATTTGTCCATTAACCAGGACAACCTTGTTTTTCCCCCTTTTTTGCCCCTAATTCCTAAACGGTTTGAGCCATAACCCCCCAAAGCAAATCCTAACCATCCCTTTGTGGTATGGAAACTTGTAGTATAATTTCAGAGAGATCCATACACCGTTCTACAGGTATTGTCTGGAAACTAGAAAATGCTTATTTTTGGCCCCTAATTCCTTAACTGTTGGTACCATAACCCCCAAAATCAATCCCAACCTTCCTTTTGTGGTATTTAACCTTATGGCCAAATTTCAAAAAGATCCATTCACTTAAACTAAAGCTAGAGTGCGAAAACCAATGTGTCTTCGGACGACGACGCCGGAGGACGACGCCGGAGACGACGACGCCAACGTCATACCAATATACGACCACAAAATTTTTTTGCGGTCGTATAAAAATATGATTCATGTTTAATGAAGATTAAAAAATTTGTTCTAGCTAAATAACACTTTTGTTTACTTTATTTTTATACTTTTTTTGTCTTACCTGATTTTCTACTCGTAAAGACTGAGTTCCAACCAGAAACCTGATCTTGTCAGTTTCTCCTGTTTGTGCAGTTAATGCTTTGGCCTGTTAAATAAGATAAATTCAATCAATAACTGAAATTGGAAATGGCATAAAAATAACGATTAAATTCTAAAACTCAAAAAATTTAAAGGTTGTACAAAAGGGTTTTAACTTTAAATTTTTTTTTTAAATACTTGAATAAGAATTTCGAAGTGAAATTTTCAAATCATAGAGCCCAGTATGATGATAAATGATGAAAGATTTGTGACCACCACATATATATCATGTTCAATCATGACTTGAAAGATAATAAACGGCAAAAAGAAAATCTAAAAAATTAGAGAAACAAGAAAAAAATAAATGGGGAATGTGTCCGTGGGACACAGATGATGCCCCCGCTTGCATACGTTATAAAGGGACATAACTCCAGAACGGTAAAAGTGACGCTACCCAAATTCATACTTGATCTGAGTTTTGTGGTAATAAGCATTGCATGCAAGTTTCATAACATTTGGTTGATGCAAACTTCAGTTAGAGAAGGGAAAGAAAAATTCAGCATAACTCTAGAACGGTTAAAGTGACACCACCAAAATTCAAACTTGATCTGTATTTTGTGGTAAGAAGCATTTTGTATAAGTTTCATAACATTTGGTTGAGGCAAACTAAAGTTAGAGAATGGAAACCAACTTTGGGACGTATGTACGGACGGACAAGGGTAAAACTTAATGCCCCCTCTGCTACGGCGAGGGCATAAAAACAAACTTGTAATACTAACTAAGAAAATTTATTATATGATTCTGATTGAAATTAAATGATGCTTCATTTCTTAAATATAATTGTAGACACATTATTATTATTATTTTTGTAGTATTTATTTGAAAATAACTTTTATTCTTGCAAGCTTACTTATTTGCATAATAATTGCAAAGAAACCAGTTAATTGTATCATAATGCGATATATTATCATAACATTAAACAATTAAGGATTCCAATTTAATAGCAATTTGTTTTTATAGTAATTAACGGATTGGTAGCTTTTGTCTTTGAATTAAGAATAATTAAACGTTAACAAGCAATCAGTGAAAGACAAATGCTATTTTCAAATAAGTATCAAAGAGAATGTCCATTCATTCAATTACAATCATCAGGATTTTACTCTTTTTCATAAGTGAGGCGAGTTGGCAGACTTTTATTCATCGGGATTTAATTTCTTTTCATAAGTGGGGCGAGTTGGCAGTCTTTAATGTAGTACGGTTTAATTCTTTTTTTCATTAGTGGGGCAAGTTAGCAGACCTTTTTTCATCAGGATTTTACTCTTTTTCATAAGTCGGGCGAGTTGGTGGGACTAAATTTATCAGAATTTTCCTATTTTTCAAAAGTGGGGTGAGTTGAAAAATCTATTCAATGGGATTTAACTCCCTTTCATAAGTGGGGCGAGTTGGCAGACCTTTACTCATCGGGATTAAATTCCTTTTCATAAGTTGGGCGAGTTGGTAGTCTTTACAGACGTATGATTTAATTCTTTTTTTCATTAGTTGGGTAAATTAGCAGACCTTTGGCTTTGATCATCAGGATTTTACTCTTTTTCATAAGTGGGGCGAGTTGGTAGGACTAAATTCAACGGGATTATAACCTTTTACATAAACATGCATAAGTAGGGCGAGTTGGTAGGACTAAACTCAACGGGATTTTAACCTTTTTCATAAGTGGGGCGAGTTGGCAGGACTAAATTCAAAAATTCAATGGGATTTTAACCTTTATCATAAGTGCAGCCGCAGGGGCGAGTTGCACTAAATTCAACAGGACTAGCCTTTTTAATAAGTGGAGCGAGTTGGTAAACCAGAGTGGGGCGAGTAGGTAGAAAGTGGGGCGAATTGTCATGGATTTCCAAAGACCATAGCCTGCATAGGCATATGACAATGTATGAGCTACGGTTCTGCAGCTATAACATCATCAGCAGACGCCACAATGTCTGGAGATAGGGATGCCTAGCCAAAATCGAACATCATGGTAATCAGGACTAACTATTTGACTGTTACAAACATACTATAACAAAGAGAACCTGAAATTCTAGTCCATAAATAACCGGCGATTCGTCGTCCATCTCAGTGTCTGGTCCCGAGACTAATTTTAGTAGTGAAAACGAAAACCAGTGAGCCGCTTGTCGGACGTCGTAAATAGCTAAAAATAAATGATTTTATTATCATTCTGAATTGAACTATTGAGTAAAGATGGACAAATGGTTATTTTATGTAGTCGTAATTCCTTTATATAACATTATTTTTTTTACGATATTCTTCACATAATTTGATGACGTATACACAGCACAGTGTTCGTTCGCTAGAGACAGTCAGCAGGTAGAATTTAGTATTCCCTTTCCTTTTAAGTAGTGGTTGTCAATTTCCTTTATAACATACTGTCCTGTCTGCAAACAATTTCGTACCCCATCGACATTTCAATCGGAAAATTATGACAAATGGTATCTGTCACTGCACTGTTCTCAACTTCAAGGAAGGATGTACGTCATGATCAAATTACCTCACATTTAAATTAGACAGTCAACTTGATTGAATTGATCAACTCTAAACTATCATAATGATTGAATACAATTGATACAATTGTGCCTCTTGAACATGAGAAGTGACAATTGACCCATGCATACATGTGAACCTCCTGACATAGTCATCAGGTCATAGGCTAATACATAGGGAGGACAAAAATCCAGTTTTCAGGGGTCTCCTCCCGTCCTCCTGTTGAAGAGAAAAAAGTCCAGTGTATAAAAAAATCATGAATGAAAAATTTCAGGCAGCATTTTTTACTACGATGTTTACAAATGTTTGTTATTGAAGACGTAAAAACCCGAGTGTATAGAACGTAACCGATGTAACTGACATTACCTGATTACTGATTACGTAATATGTGGAGATTTTGACCTGGCCAACCGGTGGCTAATTAACAAGTGATAATAGTTTGATTGAACAATAAACAGGTGATAGGATGTTAAATACTCGATATGGCTTTTGTCTATGGCACACGCCAATAAATACTGGCATTGAATGAAAAGTGGAAAGTTGTTTTCAAAAAATCGACCGGAAGGTTTTGATGCCGAAAAAAAACATTAAATAAACTTTCAACTCAGCAAAGAAATACTAGCTATTTCACACTCCAATGTGGACATGAAGGACCTTCAGCATGCTTAACAGGGACTAAACTTAACTCTTTTTCTCCAGAGGCCAGCTGGGCCCTCGAAATATTTTTTTCAGGGGCCCAGTTGAAATTTTTGGGGCCCAACCAATTTTTATTCTAATTTCATTACTATTAAAGCCTTTTTATGTAATCCTATATATGTATGTAGCTTTTGAGCCTGGAAAAGATTATGTGTGATAACTTTATAATATTTTAATTACTACCACCAGAAATATATCATAAGATTTGACAGTACTGATTTTAGTACATTTCCCACCAAAATTGTCTCCCGTCAATTTGAACTTCCTGTTGACATTTTGACAATATGGCTGTTTCTATGAATCATTAAATGCTATTTCAAATCCAAGACATCCTCTAATAGTGTTTGTCAAAAAACATTATTCAATTACTTTTTATTGAAGATTGGATAGCAATATAGATATTTTGAAATTTATTTACAAGATTTTGCGTTTCATATTTTCATTGAAGATTTTGTAAATAGCGATGCTTGGACAAGTTTATCGTCAAATACAGGCTTGTAATGACTCCCTGGACAACTGGTCAGGAATGCATCTCCAAAGCAATGCAGATTCAACAGTTTATACGAAAACACTAAACAATAATGAAATAATCGTAGAAGCTTTAAATTAGAGATAAGAACACATGTTTAGTGAAGGGGTATATGTCAAATCATGACTTTGCATCGAAAACTTAGTTGTCCGACCGGGTTTTGGTTATTAAAATGAACTGATAGGTTTCCGGAAATTCTCTCTTTAATTTTCCCGCTTTGATTAGACAATCAGGTTTCCATTTGGGAACAGTTTTTTGTTTATATTGCGGGGGAAAGGGTAGAAATGGGATTCACAGCAAAATATTTTACAGTCGCCAGCTATCAGGATGATAGAATGTATTCACCCACCCGAAAATCTGGTCGCCTTGGGCTACTGGGCGACCGTTAAGTTTAGTCCCTGCTAAAGAAGATTCAAACCTGGGACATTATATAACAGTTTCAGTCCTAACTGACAGCAGACAAACATTGACTCAAAGACAATTCACAGCCTCCTAACAACTACAATAAACTTACCAGGATCAGGATTACTTTAGTACAGAGTCAAGTGTATTAAACTAAAGGCAGCAAAGTCAGCTTGTACATGCAGAGGCGGATTTAGAGGGTTTTTCAGGGGGCGGGGCCCCCCCTTTTGTTGTAAAAATTTGGTTGATTATTCAGGGAATCACTGAAGCATGACTGGAGCGGGCTCCCTCTTAGGCAGTCAGTGGGCCCCCCCTTATGAAAATTTCTGGATCCGCCACTGACATGTACTTCTTACATGACCCAGTGTTCCAAGACCAGTGCTTTAGTTCTTAAATAACATTTGTCACTGTAATATAGACAGTGCTTTAGCTAATATGTTTTACTGCATTTGAAACAATGAGTCTTAAGTTTTCTAGCAAAATGACTTTCTTAATGCTTAAAAACCATGTATAACTATTGTTTGTTAATTTTTATACGACCGCAAAAAATTTTTTGGGATCGTATAATGGTATGATGTCATTGTCGTCGTCTGCATCGTCGTCCGAAGACACATTGGTTTCTGGACAATAACTTGAGTTTAAGTGAATGGATTTCTATGAAATTTTTTAAGAAGGTTCAATACCACAAAAGGAAGGTTGGGATTGATTTTGGGGATGATGGTTCCAAATAGTAATTTATTTTAAAAGTCTATTCAATCGATTGTTGAATACTGTACCTGAGTAAGTTGATTGGTTGTAATTGCAAGAAATGATCTTAAAAATATGCCTTTTTCTCCTGATCTAATTTATCAATAGATATAAGAAGATGTGGTATGAGTGCCAATGAGACAACTCTCCATCCAAGTAAAAATTTATAAAAGTAAACCATTATAGGTCACAGTACAGTCTTCAACACGGAGCCTTGGCTCACACCGAACAGTAAGCTATAAAGGGCCCCAAAAAATTACTAGTGTAAATCCATTCAAACGGGAAAACCAACGGTCTAATCTATATAAAAAACGAGAAACAAGAAACACTTATGAACCACATCAACAAACGACAACTACTGAACATCAGATTCCTGACTTAGGACAGGTGCAAACAAATGCAGCGGGTTTAAACGTTTTAATGGTACCAAACCTTCACCCTTTTTCTGAAACAATAGTGCAACATCACAACATAGAAAGACACACTATAAAATATCAACTGAAATAGCTTAACTCAATCAAAGGACATATTAACACCATTGAACATACACTGAACAAATAAATTTGACCTATGACACAATGTAAATACAAAATAAATAAACTAAGGGAAGAATAATAAAAGTAACATGTAATATCGGTAAGAAATGTTAAACAATTAAAGAAAAACAATATACATTTTAGTCTTAGATGCATGATTTTTTTTATTAGTTGTTATTGGCTTTGAACTAGCTGTCAGTAACTGTGAGTACTCTCAGATCTGTACTTAGTGTCTTTTTGTTGTTGGGATGTATAATAGTCGATCCTACTATAAGTCGGGTGCCCTTTTCAGCTCCAAATTCTAAGGATTTAGTCTTGACCCTCGTATAAGTCGGACAAAATTTGGGCATTTTTTTTTTCAGCTGACAGTAACTGAACGCCGGTATAACCAATGCAAATCCAGGAATAATATTCATTTCTGCATTAATGTTTGTTTGGTTTGAATTAAGTTGATGCTCATCATGATAATTTATATTGCTGTTAATAATAAAGATGTATTCATTTCTCTTGTTTTGTTCATTGTTCAAATGTTTGATTAGCCATGTGTTGTTTACGTAATGCATCAATGATTTTGTAGGGTATGACTAACAACCTACTTAATTGTTTTACATTTGTCATTTCGGGCCTTTTACAGCTGATTATGCGGTATGGGCTTTGCTCATTGTTGAAGGCCGTACGGTAACCTATAGTTTTTAATTTCTGTGTCATTTGGTATCTTGTTGAGAGTTGTCTCATTGGCAATCATACCACATCTTCTTATTTTTATATGTAATACTAATTATATTTTGAAAAGGTTACATTTGGCAGTTTTTGCTTTTCACAAAATTTTCTTACCACATAGCAGATGTACAATATTAAAATCGTGCATTATTAGAAAATTTGAGAAACTTTGCAGATCACCTGTTTTCATCCTTTAAACTTCTTATTATTTTGGATAGAAACATTGAAATAAATTAGACACATGTCTAAGCAAGATTAAATGCTTGTTTACTCAATAAAAAATATTGTTTTCAGCATTATTTTGTTGTTATCATTCTAAATAAACTCAAATGAAAGTATTTACCCTATAAGTTCTAGTCTTGCATTATCATTATATTCCTTGTCCAATATAAGATTTTTCATTCAGCATGTTCAGTGTAACTAATAAGGCTGTGTTGAAACAGAAAGTTACTTTGTGCTCAGCTGAGCTCATCAATGAACTTCCTTAAGGAATATGTACCCTTTTGTTGTTTAAATATGGAAATTTTATAGAAAATCCACAGCCTTTCCCCCCTGTACTCTCATATTTGACAATTCTCTACTTAATAGATAGGGGATTACTGCATGCAGTTCTAGCAATGATTTCCCCAAAACAAAGTTTATTTTATTACTTTGCATATTGAAGACTTGACTGTGGTTCTTCTACAGCAATCAGTTGAAATTTCTGACAAGTTGAATAGTTTGATTTGATGAAACAAATTGCAAAATTTTGAATGTACTGCAATAGATGGACAGCAACACTTACAATCAAACACAGAATTAAAGTCGAACAAAAATTGCGACATAAAAGTTTGAACAGTTTAGATTTTTTATTTCTTGGAATGAGAGCAGACATTGCAGAGCCATGGTTGATCAGTATTACATTTCTATAAATGTCTGAGACAAAGGTCAACGTCAGTTTGTAGGTATGGTGGCAAATACACAACAACTTTTCATAATGAATCTTATTTTCACAATTATCACATCCAACCTTAATGTACTCTGAAATAAAGGGTACATACATGTACAATGCATAATATATTTTCGTCATGGACTTTCAGAATTATTCTTTTTGGTTCAAGATTTGGATTATTTTGCCACAGATTTGCTAACTTTTTTGGAACTTAAGTTTTCCCTAAGAACCAACCTTATTGACAATTTCATTAATTTCCAACCACTCAAATTCCTTATACATGTGTTGTTGTAGAATTTTAATTTGCCTATCAACATGATCAAGGATTCACCAATACTGGCAGTGCATTCAGTAAATAATATAGGTTCTGTCATGCAGCTGAAATGAACTTTATATGATGTACGTATGTAGCTTTGGTGAATGTAGGGCATATGCCATAAAGACCTGTTTAAATGTTGCAGTATGAGCGGGAGGTATAGGCTCTTAGAGTATGATTGAATCATGTCACTCTTTGTATGGCTCATAATGGGGCGTCGGTATAAATTCTTCAGTTGTCCTTATTATTTGGTTTTATTATACTTCTTGTCAAAATGCCAGATTTTGATTGGTTAATACGAGGGAGACAGTTTACTCTATCCCATGGCAAATACTCTATTACCCTTCACAGAGACGCTTGGTCAAGTTTGCGCTTTAATAAATATGGATGATTGTTATGTACAAGACGACATAGTTTATTACTTTGAATTTGAAATTTAATAGACAGTAATAACAGAACATTCAGTATAATAAATCAAATTACACATGTCTGAGAGGGTGATAGAGCAGATTGTTACCCCTCGAAAAGACATTGTCAACCTTGGCTTCGCCTCAGTTGACAATGTTTTCTCAGGGTAACAATCTGCTCTATCACCCTCTCAGCTATGTGTTATTTATATACTAACCTTTCTTTAAACTCATGGACATTACAAAAGTACAAATTGTATAGCTGAGCACTAAACATCTACATTTTATAACAGTGTACATTATTGATGAAGCACACATTTTCAGAATATGTTATATAAACTTTTATTTCTTTAGTAGACAATGGCTGATGATAATGTTGAAGAATTTTTAGAAGATGAATCTTTATCAGAAAAAGAATTCCACCTACAAAATCCTGATGTTGTTATAAGGGGGACAACTCTTAGACACTCTGCTACAACAGATACTTTAGATTCTGTATATCTAGAACCAACAGCAGCTGAGGAAGACGTTCAAGATATTATTACAGCCATACCAGATTTAGTTAAAGGTTAGAATCAATACAAAAATAGGTGTTTATAGATACTAAAAAAGGAGTTTTTAAAAGATGGCTTGTCATCTTAACAAGTTAACTCCAAGAGTTTACATGATTCATTGAATTTTGATATAACCTTAATACTAAGACAATAAATTTTGTGTAGCTGTTCATATTGCCTGCAAAAAAATCTTGACAATTGATATAATATATACCTTTGTTTCAAATACAGGCAAAATTTTTAATAAAACATTCCCACATTAACCGAAACTGAAATTAATAGGAAGTACTTAAAATGAGAGGCAGTTACTTTATCAGTTAAATTTTTGGAAGATTTATCCAATATATGGATATATAGGAATGACAATATAATCTATCTTGCAGTATAGATTTAAAATAGATTTGTAAAAAAGAAGGTGAATAAAATAACAGATGTTGTCTTTCTATGTGAGCTGTGAAGATGTTGGATTTTAACTATCAGCAGATTATGATAAATGAAGTAGGCATAACTAAAGAGAAAATAAATTGCTATATCCCCGCTTTAAAAAAGTGGGGGTATACAGTTTTACCTCTGTCTGTCCATCCGTCAGTCCATCAGTCAGTCCGTCCTTCCGTCCCATGAATATTTTTCGTCGCATCTTTCTCACGAACTACAATACAAGAATTTCTGAAATTTGGTTTCAGGGTTTATATAAGTCAGCTATACCGTGTGATGCGTTTTCAGATTCATCACTCAACAACTTCCTGTTTACCGAAATATTTGGGCGGGGGTATCATCAGTGAGCAGTAGCTCGCAGTTTCACTCGTTATTTCAGTTTATGGTTCTCATAATTTGAACCCTTTCTCAATATACATTGTAAATAAACAAATGAATTCTAAATAAGAAAATGAAAATGTGTTCTACCAAGGCTATTTTAAATATACATGTACCTTGAATTTGAAAGTTTTATGGGCCAAAAAATGTCCTCATTTCAAGTCACTCAAAGCAAATGACAGGTAAACACAGGAATATTATGCATACATGTACATGTATGTTATCTTTATAACTATCTTTTATAGCCTTGAATTTTGTTTTAATCTTATGAGAATATACAGATGAAGACTATCAGGTTTTGTCTAATTTGTTTTACTATACTGTTATTTTTCTCTTTGTTTTTGATGATACATGCTTATTAAGTTATTACATGTTCATGTCCTGTTAGGAAAATATTTAAAAGATTTTGATTTTCCAAAGTAGATATTTATCGCAATCTCTGTCAGCAATGTCATGATTTTCTTCTCCATTTCTCTTAAAATGCCCTAAAATTCAATAGAAACATCACTTAATCTTCAACAGGATGTACAGAATTGCAACTCTAATATTATTTATTCAAATTTAAATTTAAATGTGTTTTTTGTTGAAAATGTCAATTTTGTTCTAACACATTTAAATCTACATGGTTAGGTAAATGATTACACTTATTCTATTAAAAGGGACAATTCTTCAGCCTTTGAAATGAATTATTGTACATTGTTCATGGTGTAGCTGTAAGTGCAATTGACTATTTCGATATACCTAAATGTTACCAGAATACAACATATGTGTTTATGCCTGGGCCACTAAGTTGCCAGGGCATAGAGTATTACCCATGTTTGTCCTTCTGTTATTTTGTCATACCAATGTTCTGAAATCAATCAGTTGTCTGGACTTTTTTGTTATCTTGCAGAAAATCAATGAAAAAACTTGTTTTATAATTTTTTTTATTGTGATGGTGATAGTATAAGTGTTGTCTGAATAAAAGCACACAGTTTTCATGGTTTTTATCTTTTCGAGTTATCACAGTATGCTCCCATTAAGTTTTGAATTTTATTATAAAAATTTAATAGATAATATTATAATAATAATAACTTTATTGAACTGAATGGTAGAATAAATAATTTAACAGTTAATATACAATTCATATGTAGAAAAACTTGTGTCTATAAATATAAGAAGATGTGATATGATTGCTATTTGTCCTTTTTGAACAAAACAATATGTTCAAACTAACTAAACAATTTATCAGATCGGGATTATACAAAACACAGGAGTAATATCTAATATATGTTTTACATTATACAGAATCTACAGACAGTGATTCTGCCTCAGGTATTCTGGATGAAAAACTAGAGACAGAAACAAGTGATGTGGGACAGAAGGTGACAGATCAAATGCCAGGTCTAGCTGAAGAACTAAAACACACTGATAAGGCTCAGGGCCAATTAAATATTAGTAGTTATTTTGCTGACCAGAACTCACTTGATGACCCTTTCAACAGCTCAGCTTTTGTTAATGTGTCAACAGAAGATGCTAATCAAACAGAAGAAAAGATTCTGGAAGAAAATGTGTTTGAAAATTTTGTTGAAGAAGAAAGCAGTGTACACCAACATTTAGAATCCAGACTCTCTCATGAAGAACCAGAAAGTGTTGACTTTCAGGTTGAAAGTGATGTAAATGTGATGGAAGCCTCATTACAAGTGATTGATGACAAAGAAGATTTTGAAATGTTTACAGCAGAAAATGACCCTGATCCTGAATTCACAGAGTATGGTGTGTCTCCTGGAAGTAGTTTACTTTCAGAAAGAATACATCAGATGCACCTGTCTGAATCTGATCAGAATGAACCAGAACAATCTGGATTTGTCGGAAGTATTGACAGGCAACTGTCGTCTGCTAGTCATCATTCTATTGGCAGTGAACCAATAATATCTCCATTACCAGTGTCACAGTTTTCTTCTAACCAGTTTTCTCCTTTTGCTACACCAACACATCAACCAGTACCACTACCACCTGTACCATCAAGTCAACTACCAAGTCAGCCTACACCAACACATCAAAAAGTGCATTCACCATTGGCTAACATCCCATCAAGTCAACCCCTAGGTCAGCCAACAGCTGAGATTAACCCATCATTTGAAACAGGTAACTGAAAAATAAGCAAAATAATTGATCTGAAACAGTTTCTTTCTTACTGTCACAAGACTTGACAGATCTACATTTTTAAACGAGAAGAGAAAAAAAGTTACTTGAATCTGCCATGTTATAAAAAGAACAATTAATTACTGTTGTCATCCGTTAAATGTGGCCAGACACATGCTAGAGGTACAACTGAAGTACTGGTCAATTTTTTGTTGTTGATTATTTTAAGTTTTACTAGATAATCTGAATAGATATCAAGCCACTAACTACTACATGACTACTGCAAAAAAAGGGAAACACTTATTATTGATATGGTTTAACCCGATATTTTGTATAAACAGTGTTCTCCCCAGGCCCTTAAAGGACCGGGGGCCCGCGATGTATAATTTTTTACCGTGGTGGTATCGTTCTTACCGCGATGTATAATTTTTCTCCGTGGTGCTAAAATTTTCAGTTAAAAAATCGTAAATCGGTAAAGTTTTAAACGACTTGTTAAATCTTTTCCGTGCGGTATAAAATTCCAGGTGAAATTTGACCAGTTCAAACCAGTTCAACACAGATTGTTTACACCACGTGATCGATTTACCTTATGAGGTTAACCTTGTTGATTGGATTTAATCGATGTAATTAACACTTGTAACATGATTCTTTTGTGTTTTAATTAAGAGTTCATAACTTTATGATCACAGATAACTATTTTATGGCTTCACTCTCCACCCAAGCACTGACCTGTGACAAGTCGGCAAATACTTTGTACACAAACAGTGTCTTGACCCAATAGGTACATTTTTTGTACATCATAATGGTGGCTCATTACGTATAATGGACAACTATACATTCCCAATTCTTATATTATAGTATTATATGTCTCTGATTAAACCATGGCCAATATTATCTTTAATTATGACATAGTTATTGCATGATAGTCGGGTTTCAAACTGTAGTATCTGTCTGTACATATCACATGACCCAGTTAGTTCACGTAGAATATTCAAGTTTATTTACAATTAATTGCAATCTATTATATTTTATAAATAAAATGGATGACTGTACCTTCAAACTGGATATCTATATCCATAATTAATGAATAACAGAAGTAATCTTGCAAATTTTATCCATAAGCACATGTTAAATCTATTTATATCTACTTCCTGTCATTTAGGCGGGAAAATAGGGAGACTTAGTTGTTGACATTGAATATGATTACTTATAGATCTATAGACCAAAGATAAATTTATAGATTTAAGAATTCTTTTTAAATGGTTCATGACAAATAAAAATTTAGATTTTAGGGCAGTATTAAGTCTGTATTTATGTTTGATTATCACCAAAGACAAGAAAGGTTAATATTTACATGAAATCTATGGCAAAATGTTCTAAAATTTATGAAAAATTTCTTTTTATTAAAATTTAAGATAGAAACTTGGTTCAAATAATAAAACAATATTTGCAATTGTTCTTGTTAATTTTATATCTTCTTTATATGACAGGAATCCTTTCAAATACAACAACTTTTTTTCTAAAAACTAGAAAGTTTTTTAAATTGAACATTTTTGTTCTCTTTTGAATGATATTTTATTAAGTCTCCCAAACGAAGTTTGGGAAGACTTATTGTTTTTGCTCAGTTCTTATTATTATTATTATTCTTCTTCTTCTTCTTCTTCTTCTTCCGCCGCTTTTAAATTTGAACTTGTCCGCACCCGTTCTCCAAAACCACGTGTCAGATTAACTTAGAGTTTCACAATATGTTAGACTAACATGTCTGGTGGTGCAATCAGGGTTTTGTTTGTGCAATGGGGTTTATAAAGGGGTACTTTGAGGGGCAAAAAGAAAAGAGGGTTTTACTATAGAACCCTATGGGATTTTATTTTTTTAAATTTTCAAATGATTATAATTGAAAACCGTTTGTGATAGACACAATCTTTTTAATTGAAAATGTTCTAAATGATAAAGCCCATTAAATGAAATACAGGGTTAGTCCCCAGGGGTCACCCCCACCCCCTGCCATTTAAGAAAGTTCTAATATCTAAGTGGTCAAGATCCCCACCCCTAAACCATATATATTCTGGTTTGTCATGGGAAGATGGTTTGAATGATATACAGGGTTAGTCCCTAGGGGTCATCCCGACCCCCTGCCATTTGAGAAAGTTCTAATATCTTGTAAATGGTTGAGATCCCCACCCCTAAACCATATATATTCTGGTTTGTCATGATAAAGCACATCAAATGAAATACAGGGTTAGTCCCCAGGGGTCACCCCCACCCCCTGCCATTTAAGAAAGTTCTAATATCTTGTAAGTGGTCAAGATCCCCACCCCTAAACCATATATATTTTGGTTTGTCATGGGAAGATGGTTTGAATGATATACAGGGTTAGTCCCCAGGGGTCATCCCGACCCCCTGCCATTTGAGAAAGTTCTAATATCTTGTAAATGGTTGAGATCCCCTACCCTAAACCATATATATTCTGGTTTGTCATGATAAAGCACATCAAATGAAATACAGGGTTAGTCCCCAGGGGTCACCCCCACCCCCTGCCATTTAAGAAAGTTCTAATATCTTCTAAGTGGTCAAGATCCCCACCCCTAAACCATATATAGTCTGGTTTGTCATGCGAAGATGGTTTGAATGATATACAGGGTTAGTCCCCAGGGGTCATCCCGACCCCCTGCCATTTGAGAAAGTTCTAATATCTTGTAAATGGTCGAGATCCCCACCCCTAAACCATATATATTCTGGTTTGTCATAATAAAGCACATTAAATGAAATACAGGGTTAGTCCCTAGGGGTCACCCCCACCCCCTGCCATTTAAGAAAGTTCTAATATCTTCTAAGTGGTCAAGATCCCCACCCCTAAACCATATATATTCTGGTTTGTCATGGGAAGATGGTTTTAAATGATATACAGGGTTAGTCCCCAGGGGTCATCCCGACCCCCTGCCATTTGAGAAAGTTCTAATATCTTGTAAATGGTTGAGATCCCCACCCCTAAACCATATATATTCTGGTTTGTCATGATAAAGCACATCAAATGAAATACAGGGTTAGTCCCCAGGGGTCACCCCCACCCCCTGCCATTTAAGAAAGTTCTAATATCTTCTAAGTGGTCAAGATCCCCACCCCTAAACCATATATATTCTGGTTTGTCATGCGAAGATGGTTTGAATGATATACAGGGTTAGTCCCCAGGGGTCATCCCAACCCCCTGCCATTTGAGAAAGTTCTAATATCTTGTAAATGGTTGAGATCCCCACCCCTAAACCATATATATTCCTATTTGTCATGTCTCGAACATTTGAATGACGTATACGGTCGTCCCCAGGGGTTCCCCCCACCCCCAATGTTCTAATATCTTGTAAATGATTGAGATCCCCACCCCTAAACCATATATGTTCTGTTCGTCATGTAATGAACATTTGAATGATGTATAGGGTCATTCCCCAGGGGTTCCTATCCACCCCCAATGTTCTAGTATCTTGTAAATGGTCGAGATCCCCACCCCTAAACCATATATATTCTGGTTTGTCATGCCAAGATGATTTGAATGATATACAAGGTTAGTCCCCAGGCACCCCTCATGCATATAACTTTACTGGACCAAACCAATTTTCACTGGACGTTGCCCAATGTCAGGCGACCCTGGGAATTACGAATTATGGGAGCTTCGTTTGGGAGACTTCGTAACAGCATCCTGTTACAATCATTTCTTGTTTTTATTGATTTTGGATTTTATAAAAGATTTAATTACTTTAAATTCAGATGAATATTTTATTATGAATCATAATTTATTTATTAAAAAAAATATTAAAGTATACAAACTGTTTTTTTATTTACTTCTTTTTTACCAATAATTTTCTGAATCAATGTCTACATAACACAGTACCACAGTGTTAAAACAAAACAAGAGACATAAAAACTACAGTAACTAGAGCTAAGCGACGCGACGCGACACAACTGATTGCATGAAATATTTCACCAAGAAGTCCACACGTGTTACCCTGGTGCTATCCAAAAATCCTGGGGGGAACACTGGTATAAACATCATTTTTCTAATATCCCTTGAATTAGGTAAATTTTTTATTCCATATGCTTACAATCTTATATTTTGTTTTATACAAATATCAAACTTTAGAGTTTAAAGTTTGAGTACATGAATGTTTTCGATTTTACAGCAACTCAAGTAATATCAACTGAAGTACCCTTAAAAACACCACCTCACACTACAGCATTCTCAGATACAATTGGAGAGGACTTGTTTCTGTCAAGTATTCAGATGAGTGATTCAGATCGCCAACATGATGCTTGGCTACCAGGAGATCATACAAACTTCACACCTGTAGCAGAAAATCTTAGTACACCAGGCTTGGTAGTCAATGAACCTCAGGTAAATCTTAGTACACCTGTCTGGAGTCAATGAACCTCAGGTTAATTTAAGTACACCTGTCTTGGTAGTCAATGAACTTTGGGTAAATCTTCGTACACCTGGCTTGGTAGTCAATGAACCTCAGGTAAATCTAAATACATCTGGCTTGCTAGTCAATGAACCTCAGGTAAATCTTAGATTGAAGAAAAGCAAGTATTAGAGGGGTTATCAATTTAAGTATGCTCTTTTAAATTGTTCATTCACAAGCTTCATGATTAGTTATTGGGAATGTGTTTGTTCTACCAGTAAATGACAAAATTATTTTCTTTATACAAAATAACGTTCTGAATTTACCTTTTTTTATTAACCCTGATTGCTATGATTGATGTTTATTTAGGGTGATCCAGTGAGAGATTTAGTATATCGTTATATGGGAGAACAGGAAGCTATAAAGAGACAGGTGCTGACTGTAGACAGTGTTACACAAAATATAGAAGGACTCCAAAAATTAATTGTATGTATATTATTTTATCAATGTTATAAAGTGTAGAGTTAAAACTATTTAGTCTAGGATTGAGTTAAATTTTATTCAACATCCCAATGGAGCAATCTGACTTGTTTAGGTAACCAACTGCACCCAAAATAATAAGTTTTACAATCATATGAATTTAGTTTTATATTGGTTCACTAGGTAAATGTTATAATAATAAGAAAAAAAGACTAAAACACACTAAACAAAAAATTAAAAAACATAAGTCCAAAAGTTGAATCCACTAGGTATTTGTCAAGGGATACATACCTTAGTAATTAAAATTTCTATTCAAAGGACATATTGAAAACTGATGTTGAAGTGTTTTCCACAGTTTTTACTTGTTTTTAGTCAAGCCTATGACATGTTTTAGTCAAGCCTATGACATGTTATTGCAGAAGCATTTTCATGATTTAGAGACTTACATTTACATACAGTATTGGATTACCTTTTTTTGACATCAATAAATTTGTTAAACCTTGATGGAATGTTATGAAATATAGAAATAAGCTTTTCCAAGTTCAAGAAATAACATCTGAAGAAAAAAGTTTGATTTTTTTTATTTTTTCTGTATATTACTGAATATGGACTTAGTTTTTGACCAATCAACATTACACTTTTACTTTTGGTGGCATCACTTTAACCGATCTAGAGTTATGCCCCTTTATAAATGGAAAAATTGCAAAATTTTTATTTTCCTCTAAATATCAAGTAATTTTTAAAATTGGAGTTATCTTCCTTTGTCCATGACTATAGTTGAGTCAACTACAATCAATGCTTTATACAATGCAATGTTTAATTTTGACTTCCACTGATAAAACACAGATCAAGTTGAAATTGGGTAGTGTCACTTTAACCATTATTGAGTTATGCCCCTTTATAAATCGAAAGAGTGCAAAATTTTTAGTTTCCATTCTGTAACTTAAGTTTGCCCCAACCAAACATGAAACCTATACATAATATTCATTACCACAAAACTAAGATCAAGTACAAATTTTTTGTTTCCGTTTTCTAACTGAGTTTGCCTCAACCAAATGTTATGAAACTTATACACAATGCTTATTACTACATAATACAGATTAAGTACGAAATTTGGTGGCGACACTTTTACCATTCTTGAGTTATGTCCCTTTATAAACATAAAAATTGCTGAATTTTTTCGTTTCCGTTCTCTACTTAAGTTAGCCTCAACCAAATGTTATAAAACTTATACACAACCGTTCTAGAGTTATGCGTGTTTACAAATAGAAAAATTGCTGAATTTTTAGTTTCTGTTCTCTACTTAAGTTAGCCTCAACCAAATGTTATGAGACTTACACACAATGCTTATTACCACAAAACTCAGATCAAGTTCAAATTTGGGTAGCGTCACTTTTACTGTTCTTCACTTATGTCCCTTTATAACTATATGATATGCAAGCAGGGGCATCATCTGTGTCCACATGTGACACTATCCACATTTATTTGGGTATTATTCTCTATTCTGTAAATCCCATCCAGACCCTAGGCTATGTATGAATTGATTTTGCTTTTTTCTCAAGAACTACAAATCAGAGAGACCTGCAGTTTGGTAAGCATGCTTTACCATGTGAGGCATTTTCACATCTATCACTTATCAACTTCCAGTTTACAAATACTTATTGTAGGTGTATTAAAAGTGAGCAATAGCTCACAGTTCATCTTTTTATTCTTTGCTTTTCTGTTTATGTACCTTTCAGAGAGTATCTGTTGTCTGTGCAAACTTTTAACTCATGTAAATGTAGAATTGTTTGATTATTGATTCTTTGTTTAGGCTGGAGGTTGTTACAGATCAGCCGTAGATTTAACAGGGAGGTTGTTGACAGAGACAGGACAGGGTCCAGACCAAGTAGGACAGATCACCACTCATACAACTCATTCTTTACAAGTAGGTTAGATAACCTATCATTATGAAATAAGAAGATGTGGTATGGTTGATCAGTACACATTCAACATATTTAGTGTAAAGATGTCATAAATAATCTGAAAAAAGCATGATCTTGTTTCTTCATAAGTAGGTCAGATAAATTCTGATAGAATTTTACTCACAGAAAGATTTTCAAATTTTGATTACATTTTTGTCTTGCCTTGACGGAGTCAAAAAGCGAGACATAGATATGCTGTTTCCGGCGTCATTGGTGGCGACAGCGGCGGCTGCATCAACAATGTATTAGTTTGTGATTAGGTCTAGTTTTAGTTTATGGTGAACCACTAGTGGTAGGTCAATGATATTTGGTATGCAGTTGTATAAGCATTGGCATATCTCATTTCCATGGAAATTATTTGGCCCTGCCCCCTCAGTCATGGTCTATTGACTTTGAAACGTTTGCTTAGTTTACATGTATTAGTTTGTGATTAGGTCAGTTTATGGGGAACCATTAGTGGTAGGTCGATGATATTTGGTATGCTGTTGTATAAGCATTGGCATATCTCATTTCCATGGAGATTATTTGTCTCTGCCCCCTCAGTCATGGTCTATTGACTTTGAAACGTTTGCTTAGTTTACATGTATTAGTTTGTGATTAAGTCAGTTCAAGGGGAACCATTAGTTGTAGCCCAATGTTAATTGGTATGCAGTTGTATAAGCATTTGCACATCTCATTTCAATGGAGAATATTTGGCCCTGCCCCCTCAGTCATGGTCTATTGACTTTGAAACTTTTGCTTAGTTTACATGTATTAGTTTGTGATTAGGTCAGTTCAAGGGGAACCATTAGTTGTAGCCCAATGTTAATTGGTATGCAATTGTATAAGCATTCGCACATCTCATTTCAATGGAGAATATTTGGCCCTGCCCCCTCAGTCATGGTCTATTGACTTTGAAACTTTTGCTTAGTTTACATGTATTTGTTTGTGATTAGATCAGTTTAAAGTGAAGCCAGAATGTTAAGTCAATGATATTAGGTATGCAAATTTATTGGCATTTGCAAGTCTTGTTTCAATGGAGATTATATAGCCCAACCCCCTCAGCATGGTTCATCGACTTTGAAACTTTTACATAGTTTACGAGTTAATGTTTGTGTTAAGTTTTGTGTAAAGGAAACGACTTATAATAAGTCAATGGTATTTTTTATGCAGTTGTATTAGCATTGGCACATCTCATTTCCATGGAGATTGTTTAGCCATGTACCTTCAGTCATGGTTCATCGACTTTGAATATTTGCATAACTTACATGTTAAAATACTGCTATATTAATTTCAACATGTGCATTATCAAAATTACAAAAAGGCGAGACATATCTCTGTGATAACAGTTTATTATACCCCACGCAACGAGTTGCGGAGGGTATAATGTTTTTGACCCGTCCGTCTGTCCGTCTGTCCTTCTCTGTCCGTCTGTCCGTCCATCCGTCTGTCCGTCCGTCAGTCCTGTTTCTTGTCATCGCAACTCCTCTCAAACCACACAACAGAATTTCACGAAACCTTTTTAGATAATAAGGACATACTATGTAGTTGTTCATATCGACAGGAAATTACGATTCAATTCTTTTTCTAGGAGTTACGCCACTTTGAACTTATTTACTTTAATGTACTACTGCAACAGTTTGTCATCGCAACTCCTCTCAAACCAAACAAAAGAATTTCATGAAACCTTTTCAAATAATAAGGACATACTACGTAGATGTGCATATCGACAGGAAATTAGGATTCAATTTTTTTCCCAGGAGTTACGCCCCTTTGAACTTATTTACCCAATATACTACTGCAACCTTTTGTCATCGCAACTCCTCTCAAACCACACAACAGAATTTCATGAAACCTTTTCAGATAATAAGGACATACTACATAGGTGTGCATATCGACAGGAAATTACGATTCAATTTTTTTTTCCAGGAGTTACACCCCTTTGAACTTATTTGCCCAATATACTACTGCAACCTTTTGTCATCGCAACTCCTCTCAAACCACACAACAGAATTTCATGAAACCTTTTCAGATAATAAGGACATACTACGTAGATGTGCATATCGACAGGAAATTACAATTCAATTTTTTTTCCAGGAGTTACACCCCTTTGAACTTATTTGCCCAATATACTACTGCAACCTTTTGTCATCGCAACTCCTCTCAAACCACACAACAGAATTTCATGAAACTGTGTAGATAATAAGGACATACTATGTAGATGTGCATATTGACAGGAAATTTTGATTCAATTTTTTTTTCTGATACAATTTTTTTTTCTTACACTTATTTTATTTCTCCAATGACAATGTGGGGACGTGGGGTATGTGAGTGCGCTCACTAAGGTTCTTTCATTGTATATATAAGCTATTTTGTTTTGCCTTTCCTTTCCATAAGTGACTTTTATACATGATATAGATAAGGGTGAGCATAAGGCACCTTGCCTTATTTTTAAAGTCCTAACTTGTCAGTTAAATCAGTATGTTCCATGTCAGTTATTATAGTTGTGACTCAATAACCTTACCTTAATTATGAAGTTAATCAGTATATGTTCTGTGTTTATAATTATAGTTATGGTTTTGTCGCTTTGCCTTGCTGATGAAGTTGAGATATTATAGTATTGCTGAATCAGAATTCCAAGCATTCCAGAATCTAGATACTCCTGATCTCTACTATGAATATTATCCTAGGATGTATCCAGGCAGAAAAGGTAGATAGTAAAAATAGAAGTTTGTAAACTAGAAGAGTATATATCATCCCTCAAACACATTTTTGTTGAGCCTGCGACTTCAGTCGCAGAAGGTTTGACATAGGGATAGTGATCCGGCGGCGGAGGCGTTAACAAACTTCTTAAAAGCTTAATATTTCAGAAGGTAGAAGACCTGGATCCTTCATACTTTGTATATAGATGCCTTATGTTATGAAGTTTCCGTCTGTCATATGTCCATTGTCCTTGACCTCATTTTCACGGTTCACTGACTACTTGAAAAAAAAATTAAGATTTTTAGTATTCTTAATTTCTCTTTTTTATGAGTAATAGGATAACTCTGTTTTTCTAATACTGTATGCAATAGTTCAACTATATTTGGTGTATGAAAATATTTTACGATGTACATGTCAGTCTGGCATGTTTTATTTGACCTCGACCTCATTTTTACGGTTCATTGCTCAATGTTAAGTTTTTGTTTTTTGGTCTGTTTTTCTAATACTATAAGCAACAGGTCAACTATATTTGGTGTATGGAATGATTGTAAGGTGTATATGTCTGTCTGGCAATTATCATCTGACCTTGACCTCATTTTCATGGTTCATTGGTCAATCTTAAGTTTTCCTGGTTAAGTTTATTTCTTAGATACTATGTGCAATAGATCAACTATATTTAAAGCATATTTGGTGTATTGAATGATTGCAAGGTGTACATGTATTTCCAGTTTGGTTTATCTGACATTGACCTCACATTTCAGCATGTGCACTCTTGTTGGATTATTCAGTTATGTTAACATGCTATTTATTGAGTATGCTCAGGGATGTCTTACTTTTGAACCACAAATTGCCTAATATCTTGAATACATTACTGTCTAATGAAGTGTTATTATTTAAATTTTATTTAAAAATTTATAAGTTTCTGTCTGTCAGCACAACATAAGGACAAACTTGAAAAAATCAGTTGAAAAATGCCAAAACGCATCAGAATGTTTAGAATTAGAATGTAATACTCCATTTGTTTGTATTAAGTTTTCTACAGATGCAGCCAAATTTCCAAACCAAATCTTTTGTATTTATGAAAAAAATTATTATAGATTTCAAGTTATTGTATTGATTTTCAGGTTCAATGGTCCCTTTTGGTATGAGAATATTACATGCTGAATTACCACATTATTTAGGCAGGTCACATGAAGCTTTAGATAGACTATACTATGTATTAGCTGTAGCACAAAAGGTAGGCAGAAACTTTTTTATACACATCACTTTCTGAAGCGGGCTGTGTATAGTGATGGGGGAAGTTTGTTCCACTTTTGTATCTGTAACTGCCTCTGATCCACTTGACAGATTTTTCTGATATTTTCACAGAAACTTTCATGATTTTCTTGTTTTATTTATTCGTCTGAATAATTGTTGAGGTTTACTTTGGGATGACATGGACTTTCTCATATCTTCATGCTATGGTAAACAACTGTATCAGGTTCTTCTTAACCCTTAGTAACAATCTAAAGAAATTATCTCAGAATCTTTACCACATAATGCCAATTGTGAGTTTTTTTTTTTTTTTAATTATTTTTGTTTCCCTTAGTTGGTTTAGGCAATTTCTCTTTTTTGGGAATACCCATTTTGATATGATGGAATATGCGATACTTTTAGTTAGTATGAAATTCTGATTGGCAGTCACTGGATCATAGTTTTAATAAAGTATTAGCTCTGGTTACTTAGTTATATGTGTGTCCTAAATCTATCATTTAGATTTGTTACTTTTATAGATTTTGATAGATGGTTTGGCTGAAGATGGAAGTACAGTAGAGATTACTCCAGAAAGTAGAAAAGGTAAAGAAAATATAGACATTCTGATAATATACATTCTTTTTGCAAGAAGTAAGATGTGATTGACAAAACTTTAGTTATAGAATATAACAATTTTTTGGGATCTTACAATGAAACTTGCATTTTATTTGTAAAGATATTTATTTCAATAAAATTTTATATATTGTAATTTCCATAAAGAGATAAATTTATTTATATTTCTATTGTAGTTTCCAAGGAATTATGGCAGGAAAGAGAAAAACAAGTATTATATATCATAGGGAATACATTCCTAGCAATTAAGGTGAGACTTAAAATTTTACTTGTGGAATCCTGACTGAAATATCAGTATGAGTTGGTTAATTTTAAAAAACTTCAAAAGGCAAAAAAAAGTTGAGAATAGCGATTTTCTACATCATTGAAAGTTGTACATAGCTGTCTTACTTTGACCTCCTTTTCAAGGTTGATGGTGCATCAACAAAAAGTTTTTGTAACTTTAGTTAGACCTTATAACAATAGTGTGTTAATATTACAATTCCTATTTGCAAACTTGAAATATGTAGTGTGACCTTGATCTCATTAATTTGCTATTGGATGTTAAGCAAGCAACAATTAATGATGGACCACAACATAGTCAATCATAATCCATTTCATTGAGTTTACTCTAGTTTTGAAAATATTAAATTTTATGATGAAAGAAATGAAAACAGATAATAGCAAATTTTTGGAAAGACCTTTTCTACAGATCTGTTTTTTTTTCAGGACTATGAAGCTGCTGTGAGTGTATATGATTCTATATTGAGTAAAGATTGTTCTTGTAAGGCTGACCTACTAAGTGGCATTGGAAGAATATACTTACAGGTAAAGCTGATCTGATCAAATAATACCATCAAACATGGTATTAACTTATTTTTGATTGAAAGTAAAAAGCCCTAATTGTTTTATGCATTCCTCACAAAGTGGCCAGGGCATTTAGTGTTACTCATGTCTGTCATTTTGCCTTCCAAAACATAACAGTTGTTCAGGCTTTTTATCTTATGCCTGCAGATATTGATCTGATTTTTGGTTCATTAGTCAATAACCAAGTTTTACCAACTTTGGCAGAATTACTTCCCTTAGACCAAGGAAATTTCATTAGATTGTATTTGACTGAACTTTTTATGCCCCCGCCTTAAGCAATGGGGTCATTAAGTGTTACCCTTCACTGTCTGTCCTTCAATCTTTCCTTCCCTCTTTCCTTCCATCTTTCTGTCTATCCCATTTTTGTTTCCACACTCTAACTTAAGTTTTCCTAATCCAAATTTTATGAAACTCATACAAAATGCTAAGAACCAAAACTCGCAGACAGAGTTTGAATTTGGGCAGTGAGTTACTTACTGTTCTAGAGTTATGCCCCTTTATAACTTGGAACATTGCAAATTTTTTCATTTTCACACTTTTACTTAAATTTTCCTCATACAAATTTTATGAAACTTGTACACAATGCTAAGAACCAAAACTGGCAGACAAAGTTTGAATTTGGGCAGTGAGGTACTTAACGTTCTAGAGTAATGCCCCTATATAACTTGAAAAATTTCTGCACTCTAACTTAAAGACCACACTGATCACTTTGATATAAATTTGAATACAGATTTTTGTCTCGACTTAACAGAGTCAAAAATGATATAGGTATGCTGTTTCTGGCGTCGGCGGCGTCAAAAATGTATTAGTTTGTGATTAGGTCTAGTTTATGGTGAACCACTAGTGGTAGGTCAATGATATTTGGTATGCAGTTGTATTCGCATTGGCACATTTCATTTCCATGAATATTATTTGGCCCTGCTCCCTCAGTCATGGTCTATTGACTTTGAAACTTTTGCTTGGTTTACATTTATTAGTTTGTGATTAGGTCAGTTTATGGGGAACCACTAGTGGTAAATCAATGATATTTGGTATGCAGTTGTATAAGCATTGGCATATCTCATTTCCATGGAGATTATTTGGCGCCGCCCCCTCAGTCATTGTCTATTGACTTAGAAACTTTTGCATAGTTTACATGTATTTGTTTGTGATTAGATCAGTTTAAGATGAACCGCTAATGTTAAGTCAGTGATATTTGGTGTGCAAATTTATTGGCATTTGCAAGTCTCGTTTCCATTGAGATTATATAGCCCCGCCCCCTCATCATGGTACATTGACTTTGAAACTTTTACATAGTTTACGAGTTAATGTTTGTGTTTAGGTTTGTTTAAAGGGAACAACTTATGTTAAGTCAATGGTATTTGGTATGCAGTTGTATTAGCATTGGCACATCTCATTTCCACGGAGATTGTTTTGCCATGTACCTTCAGTCATGGTTCATTGACTTTGAATATTTGCATAACTTACATGTTAAAAGTATTGCTATTTTAATTTCAACATTTGCATTATCAAAATTAAAAAAGGCGAGACATATCTCTGTGTTAACAGTTTTATTATGTTTTGAGTTAAGAAGCAAGTGATGAAGCTTATGTGGACTTAAAAATAGAAACCCTCCTTTGCTACAAAAATGTTATTAATTTCTGGTCGAATTTTTTTAAAATGTTAAAATCTGTCATAGTTACCGTGTGAATACATTACTATGTATTTATAAAGCATCTTTTTGATATGATTTTAAATAGTCATTATTTTTTTAAGGATTTTTAAGAAGCTGATACAAACTCATATCCAAGTTAAAAAAGAAGAATTTAGTTATTTGCCTGAATCTTTTAATTGAATGAACTAGTTAGGTATACTTTATTCTTACTTTTTTTAGATTGGTAACGTACCAAAAGCCAAAGACTGTTTTAAACAAGCAGAAGTATTGTCTGATAGTCAAGATAAATATGTTAAATGTAGGAATTTTATAAATAGGTAAGAGACTATATACAAGTTATGATTAGTCCATGTGTTTTACAGTAAAATGTATTTATTTTTGCAATTTCAATGATAGAATATAGATATATGAGGTTATTTTTTTATAACCCTGCTAAAGGTGGTAATTGATTTATTTTCAGCATTTGATTGATCATATCCGCTTTAGATTTGTGTTATCATATCTGTATTTTACTAATTTTTATTAGGATGTTGAAAACACATTATATTGCAGAAAACCCTATCACCATGAAAGAAAAAAAAACATATATCATAATTAATATATGGAAAGGTAAACAATTAAATGTTTTCTTTAATCCATTCATGTAAAATAATTTTAATTTCGCTAATTTCAGAGGTTTAGAGGGCATGTGTTTAAACAACTTTTCAGAAGCATTCCAGAGTTTTAAGAATGCTGTTGAATGTGATCCAAAAAATTCCTCAGTAAGTATAAAGTAATTAGTCCTATTCTGATAATGCAGGAATTGAATTAAAATAAAGCAAGATTTTGATCAGGTTTGTTCTTGAATTGTTTAACGTTTCAAATACTTCTGTATTCTTAGAATGTTTTTTTTCAAATTTAAGACGCAATTAAAATACTATTGGCTCAACTTCAGTGCTCTATTTAAATTAAAATGGACTGGTGAGTCATAGCCCTACAGAATTATCATTGATGTTTGTAAATACTGGTGCTAGTCTTTTCTCTTCAAGTGCTAATTGAATAATTAAGACATTTGGCCAGTTTAAAAGTTTTTTAAAAAATGCAATAAATTATTTTTATGAAAATGAAATACTTTTTTTTATCCGTGTGGTTCTTAAACTGTCATTCCTAAGTATTGTAAAATGAGCCTGTATATGAAATAGAAACTAGAACAGTTCCAACCTTTCTTTTGACAGGCTGTTAACAATATGGCTGTTTGTTCCTTGTATGTTGGAAAGTTAATGGATGCTTTGAAGAGTCTGGAAGTCTTAGTTCATGAAGATCCTGAGAGGAATTTACATGAAGGAGTTTTATTTAACTTGTGTACTTTATATGAACTAGAATCATCAAGGGCTTTACATAAAAAACAAGCATTACTGGACCTGGTCAGTAGACATAAGGGTGACGGATTTCCTGTTGCTTGTTTGAAAATGGCTTGAACTTTGCACCATATACTGACTGCTTCATAGGATGTGGACAGTACCTGCTGAAAATAACTGGCTAGTGTTTCACAAAGCAACAGTATGATTTGAATTCAAAAATCTTTTAATTTAAATCGAGTGTTTTTAAGTTATCTACTTGTAAAGGATGCAATTGCTTTGAGGAACAGTATCCTGTACATTATAATAAAAAGGGACCAACTTATGTTATAACATATTTATTTTTCTCAAATCACAGTTCTGTTTGCATCATTTAGGTAACTTCCAACGTACAAGATTTAAAGGATATTTTCTACCATATATTTTCTTTGGAATATCTTGAAATCAAGTTATTATGATTATAAAAAAAACATCTGACAATACATCGTATAAAGGACCAAACTTTTTTCCAGATTATTTTCATGGAACCCATTTGTTACATAAATGACAGGAGATTTTGATGAGTATTACTCAATGAAACCTAAGTCCACAAACATAATTACACCCAAGTCATCTAAGAGTTTGACTAAAGGTCTTTAAGATAGATAAGTGTCTGTACCATGTGTCAAGCTCTCTTAGTCTAGACAATTGTGTTTGAATATTAATACAGAGAGTTGCCGTAAACACCTTTTATCTAACAGAAAATAAAAGTAATAAATAAACAAAGATAATAATAGACAAGATTTCTGATATAGGTCAGAAACATTAACATGTTTTGATGTTAATCTAATGTTTTGACTACTCAATCCTCTACCTTTTTATTCCAATCAGTGGTATGACAAACGGTACAGAGGAATAGACAATAAAAGCCAGTTCCGAATAAACACTTAATTACATCAATATAAACAACAAAAACAAAGCTACAATTAACTCTTGTAGTCTCGAACTTGGTTGACTTGAAATTTCGGATGAGCCAAAATTTTCCCGTTGTCCCGAACTTTGTTCCATATAAATATATGTATTTTGACTCCTACTGAGGCGAAATTTTTGTTTACCCGTAACATTTATGGTTCCAAGGTTAACATGCATTTAAATTACATTTTTTATCTGGAACAAATACATATATGTGTCAAAACATGACCTCAGGGATTTAAATGGATTGACAAGGTAATCTGACAACTTTGATCCTGAAAATTAATAATATTAAAGCGATATGTTGTTGTGGATTATGAAATATGATTTTAAATGTTTTATATAAATTAACGGTAATCATTCATTAATGAGCTTGGTTGTGCATGAAGTGATAAAAACTACTCAATCAGCGTCTTTAATCTTTTATATTTTCTTTTGCGGAAAAAGGACGAAATAATAGACAATGAAAAGAAGTCTTAATTTTCACAAATTTCTTTAAAAAGAAATAACTTTGAGAACAAAAAAAGAACATATAATATTATTATAATAATAAAAGACCATTCATATGTGTACAGATACACCGATCTCAGACCAGACTATGGATCCCCATATTCATCTGTATTTATTTTAGCCTTACCAAGCTTAGCAAGAGTTGTGTCCCTTGGTCTGTCAGACTTCCGGTATTCATTTCAGTCGCACTACAGGTATCTCGAAAATATTTCTCTGGTCCAGCTGACTTCAAGATAACAAGAGTCGACTGTCTAAGTAAAACAGTACTAGTAATAACAAATCAAATAATGTTCTTAGTTACTGAAGCTCAAAGTTCTTAAACTGATGATCTTCTAATATCAGCTGTTGTACTGACATAGATTTAGTACAGCAATGTCATGAACAGTACAGAAAAAACAAAATTTTGTGCAATGCTTAGATTAAATATGTGTTTGTAGTATTTTAATAAGTCTTCTTTTAAACAGTCAAAAGGTAAATTGATATTGAATTTCAAAATTAAAAGATGCAAAGTAACAGAATAATAATAATCTTTATCAATGTATTTATTAAGCTAAAAATAGAGAAAGTTTTGGTCAATATGCATGGGTCATATTATCTGATGAATAAGACTTTTCATGACCAAAACTTTTTAGCTAGGTTTCAGACATTTCTTACAACATTAGTAACTTAAAACAAAAGAACTTGTCTAAATATTCAGATATTATTTGGATTTAATTATTAATGAAACAGATTGTTGTTTTGTGACATGAAAATTTGAATAATGGTACGGAACCATATTGTTTTACAAAAAAAATCATGAGATAATTTCTTAAATGAAATCTAAATGAATGAAGTTTAGAGAATGATTTTTCAATAGGGACAGTGCAATAATTTTCTCACATTATTTTGTTTGTCTTATTTCAGTTTGTTTTATTGTGTTTTGCATTGTGTGCATTGTATTTAATTAAAAAAAAATTATATGCATTTAGAAATAAATTATTAAAACATTTGTTTCTGTTGTCTTGATGTTAGTTGGTGAGGCAGATATGATTTTAACATGTATGAGTTGAAAATAGTTGAAGCAGTGATATAAATAAGATGCTTTCTTTTGAGATGAAGGTATTAATCTTTTGATTTGTTTTAACATAGACTTAAAGGTTAATAACACCTTTATCCAACTTACTGCTAAATTGCTGCAGTATCCTACAGACCATTACATCTAGCATATCATTAAAAACAAGTTTAATTTTGCTTCAGAGCATACAGAGGAGAAGGGGTTGGTCCTCAGATTACTGTTCAACCCAAATTATTGTCTGAACAACCTATTTGATAAACTGTCTATTGGATATGTTGTTCTTAACAGTTTGTTTATGTGGGAACTTTTTGGTTATTGATGCGATGCAGTCTGTTGTAGTATTTTTGACAATTTTATTTCGCTTCTGTAGTCACTGATTTTAAAGGAAGACCTGTTTTTTATACGCCTGTTTACGGGACATATTATGGTATACCGTTGACTGTCTGTCCGTCCGTCCGTCCGTCGTCAACATGTCGGACATTAACTCAAAAACGCTTTAACCAATATGCATGAAACTTTATTGAATTGTTTATATCTATTGACGTGAGCTCCCTTTCGTTTTTTATAAATTTCAGATTTACCATTTCCGAGTTTTGGGGTTTTATTCATTAAAAAAGGGGGGATTTTCCAGTTTTCCCACAATAACTCAAGAATGCTTTCACCAACTTGCAAGAAATTTTGGTGAATTGTTTATATCTATTGACATGAGCTCTCTTTCGATTTTTATGAATTTTCGATTTTATATTTCCAAGCTACAGGGTATTATTCATAAAAAAAGGGGGATTTTCAAGTTTTCGGACAATAACTAAAAAATGCTTTCAGCAGTTCTCATGAAACTTTGGTAAATTGTTTATATCTGTTGATGTAAGCTCCTTTTAGAATTTTATAAATTTTAGATTTTACATTTCTGAGTTATAGGGTTTTATTCATTAAAAAAGGGGGGATTTTCCAGTTTTTCTACTATAACTCAAAAATGCTTTCATCAGTTCTCATGAAACTTTGGTGAATTATTTATAGCTATTGATGTAGTCTCCTTATTGATTTTCATAAATTTCAAATATGACATTGAGGAGAAATTGAACTTTACTTGTTTATAGTCTGACAACAGATTTACTTAGTATTGCGCAACAGCACAGTGTATTGCACAACAGCAAGAAATCTTTAATTGAATATAAATTCAATTCATATAACCAATTTCAAGTTCTTTGACTACATTTATTCAGAAACCTTTAATATGTCAAATATTTAATTACAATCCAAATTCAGACCGGTATCAAGCTTTAATATTGTGTCCATTTTTGCCCCAACTGTTCAGGGTTGGACCTCTGCGGGCGTATCCAGCTGCGCTTAGCGAAGCAGTTTATTTCCTGTTTCTGTAAAAATATTTCAACAATTCTTGTTGATTTCAAATTATCTTATTATCAGATGTTACTACTGTCATTTCAATAAAAGAATAAATTAAGTTGTCTATGCATTGTTAGATAAGGTACAAAAAAGATAACAGGAAGTGCCAGATATTTTTTACATTACAGAAAGCATCAACTAACACTTACCAAATTCTTCAAGAATGAAAATACAAAAATACAGAGAATAAAGAAACATATATTTTGGCTTGATGGTGTGAATTCGCATGTGTTGACATTTTCTATTTTTATCAATATTTTCCTGATTTGTTGCTCATCATTTTAACAATGCAAAAGAATGTACACACACAATGTTACTTGCCATGAGCAACACGACTGGTGTCAGAAGTGGAGCAGAAACTGCTTACCCTTTTGGATCACGAGTTCATTCATGATTTTTGTTGGGGTTTGTCACTCTTTCTGTTCAGTGTTTTGTGAAATGTGTTTTGTCATTTCGTCAGACTTGTGGTTTATGATCACCCCCTGGTATCATCTCTCAATTTTTTTAAATACCTACTATAGACATATATTATATGTCTCTGCCTACACTATCTAATTTGCAATTTAAAAATAACTCTGTGGTTAATTTTCCTTCAGATGTTATTTTGTCATTAATGTCCGTTATTCAGTATGAGCAATAGCCAAACTGATTTTATTTGAGAGGTTTGATTTATTACCAAACAATTTTAAAGACCTGTCAAGAATCTCTTTTTAAGGAACAATTCAGTTAAAACGTCAATTAGTGTAATATTGGTAGATTATGTACTGCTTCACGTTTTGTTTCCAAATTATGCCTAGTTCAGTTGTGTTCAAGGTGAGATAGTAAAATACTGATATGAAGATCATGTTTCTGAAATTCCAGTATTAATCAGATATGCTCGTTGTAACACTGTTATACCATGCATAATTTTACAAAGCAATGGCGACAAAATTGAGTTAAATCTATCAAAGTGTCAGAACTTAAATAATGATTAATGTCATATAGTTATAAATTTCACCTTGAGATATTCCATACTATGGCACGCCTGAACCACTTTTATATATAATCCTAGATTATCTCAGATAAACTAGGATTATCTCACTATTTTACATTTAGCTCAGATAAACCGGGATTATCTCGATTTTTTTTCTTCAGATAATCCCGGTTTATCTCAGAATTTTAAAATAAACCGGGATTTTCTCAGCTTAATGCATATTTGAGATAATTCATTATATTCCTCACAAAATTAGATAAATAATTAACTGGAGAAAATCCGGGATTATCTGAAAATTCTGAGATAATCCGGGATTATCTGAGAATTTTGAGAAAATCGATTAACTGAAAAAAAGTAGCCAATAGAAAGCCACGACACATTGGAGGAAAATTTCATGGTCATAAGGGATAAGATATAGATACAATGGTGCATCTACACAGATAGAGAAGAATGAAAGATTACGCTCTTACGGGAAACGTTTTAGAAGTTTTAAATTTCCAAATTTGATAAAAATAACAATTGATTTATTCAGGATGTACATGTATGACAAGTGTATCGATAATAATGAAGATCAGAGGGATCTAGAATTTAGAAGTTTGTCTTGAAAGGTTTTTTTAAGAGAATTTGAATGTTATATCCGTATTTGACTTTATGAAGATAGTGAAATATGTTACATATTTAAAATCTGGCATCCGCACAATTAACTAGGACAAATAACTAAAATGTTGAAATAAGTTGAGCAAAGTTGAAATACACCATTTCGAAGTTCTAATTAGTTTCCTTTTAGAAAGTTATAATCTTTAAAAAAAAAATATCACGCGCCGTTTTTCTTTCCTTAATTTTCCCCATTAAAAGAGTAAAATATGGTGCAGGAATTTATCATCCATTTATTGCAAAGTGTTACATTTTAGTACTTACTTGGTAAGTTGTATAAAGTGTTTGTTGTCAATTATATAATCTAATCATGATAATGACAAATGCCTGAAATATTTATTACCTTACAGCTCTATTATATTGTTAATCAGTTTGTTTTTAACGACACGTGGCCAATGCATAATTAACCTTTAAACAAACGCTGTTAAAACGGGGTTTTGATTCCTGAAGGACGCCACACTTTGCAATGAATTAGATCTATATTTGTTAACGTTTTCAAATTAAATAAACTGAATGAATTTCTTAAAATTCTCAAATGGCTTTAATATTATTACAAACAAAACGAAACGTTTATTTAACATTTTTTGCAACTTTTATCTCTATTTTTGTTCTAAGAAAACCTTTCTGTAGTAGAGAATTGATAAGGGTAGTGGATTCGTAAACGAGAATCAACGAGCGACTTTAGTCGCAAGTTGATTATCGTTTCCGAATCCACTACTTCTTATCAATTCTCTAGCTTAACCCATTTCTAGTAAAACGACTGTCTGTTTTACGTTTTGACAATGAATCAACGATATTTCATAAAAATAGTTTCGTATTTTGTCTTTTTTATTCTATAATAGCTGGAAATGATTATATCCACACGGTTCGCATCTATATTTGGACATTTGACAGTTAACATAAGTTTAAGATAACTTAAATGGGGTGTTAGCTCCCCTTTTTAACACCAGAGTTTATTTTTGTATAAACATATTTCATTTAATGTTTAATCATTACAAATTTTTTAAATTGAATAGATTTTGGTATATTTAATTTATTCAAAAAGACATATATTAATATACAGAATGTATTTATCTTGTTTTGAAAAGTTAAAAAAATTTAATTACCAAAATTTAGAACCTTCAAAATCTATATATATAATATTTAGCAACTTGATTTGGTATATTGAAGACTGAACACCGTTAAGCCGTTCGTAGTCAAATAAATGTTATTAGCGTTGATGCCATACATCTGCCATTTCTTAATGCTCAAATTCGTGTTGCTTTCCTAAAGTATTAAAATTATGTGCTTACGATTTAAAATGAACAACTATATTTAAATTATGTTTAAACTGTTTCCGTTTCATTTAGTTAAGATTATTTTAACGTTATTACATTTGGCATATATCGTTCACCGGCCAATACACTTGTTTTATCTGTGGTACGCATTCTGAATCCCCATCAAAATTGCTCTTGCCACGGATGTACAATGAATAATTATGCTAATTCTATAAACTTACCATCAAGCTGTTCATAGCCGTGATCGTCTAGCCGTTGGTAACGAATGTCATAACGGTGATATTAACAGTGCAAAGTTCGAACCTTGTATCCGGAATGAAATTTTTTCATTGTAATTTTTTTCTGGACCAAAATATTGTTTGAATCCTAGAACATGTAGAAGTATTATATTTTTCATTTTCATACAATGGCGATGATTTTGTTTCTGTTTTTACTGTCAAAGAAGTAGTTTTAACCCATTTCTTAAAAAAAAAAATAACACCCAAAATAAAACAAATTCAATAAACATGAACACACCAAGATATATTTATTTCATTAGATTACAAAAGCGAATTAACAATGAGACAGAAATACAGTTAAATGACATGTATTGACAAGTAAGCGCTTTAAGAGTACTATTCATATAA